TGTGAAAATATGCCTATCTCATTTCAAAGACTACTAAATACTGCACAGAAACTGCCTAGCATACTACATAATGAACAGATTCAAAAAAAGGCTACTTTCTACTTTAGATTTTGCTGTTTCAACTGACTTGAATTTCTTGTTTTTTATGAATAGTGAAAATAATGTGTTTGTAACAATATTTTGACTTGAAGAAGGTCACTTTAGTGAGCACTCAATAACAGTTCTCTGGGTTAAATGAGGACAGGATCTTGAGAGTTTATCTTTTGATAGACCAATGCCTACCAAGAATTTGTAGCCTTGATTGTGTTGAGATTTAAAACCAAAAAGTATTTGTGGTTAGAGCACACTCATGTTTGTGTGCTGGGATGGGAGGAGATGGATGTTCTTCTGTTAATCCTAGATGTGATTGGCAGATTTTTGTGTCACTATATAATGAATGTCAAAAGCACTTCACTCGCTCTTGGTCAGAAGTGTCTCCATCTACTTACAGGTAATTGAAGAGAAGGTATTCTCATTTAGACCTTATACCCTAAGTCATCTGCTATGTCCCTGTTGTAGATCTCACTTTGAACAGGTGTGTCTGCACCCTGGCAATAAGGGTCTCTTATATACCGCAGATCTGGCCTATACTATGATTGTGTTTTCTACTTCCTTGACAAATGACAAATGACAAATGACAGGATAACTATCCTGTGACTAGTATAAGAAACCTGCTCTGACTTTGCTTTTCTCAGTTTGTCATAGCTTAAATATTCCCAGGATTGTTACTCTAGTTGGTGGTAGAGCTGAGAGAGAGGGGCCTGAAAATGAGGTAGGCTAAACTCTCTTGCAATACACACTTTATTCAGAAGATCAGACACCTGATATTCTGAGGGTTATGGAGGATCATCTGAATAAAGCAAACAATCACAAAGACAAGTCTCACATAGAAAAACCATGCTTTTCCATAGAGGTATAATAATAAGAACAGCTGAAGTAAGTTCAGTCCCATCCAAGGACAGAGAAACACTCTGTGTATAGAAGAAATGGAGGCCACAAGACTCAAATCTTATTATCTCACAAGCACTCAGAATTTTCTTCATACAACATGATTCTTGAATCATGTTGTAAAAACTCACTATGCAGATTTTTAATCAGAAATGCATCAAGCACCACTTTCTCTACAAGATTTGCATTATATCTATTTATGGATTAGCAAGAATGCCCTTTCTATGGTACTTTGGCTCACTTATACCTTGCTATAAATTTCAGTCCTTTGCTAATTAAGAAATTAAGCATTGTTAATGAAAAATACAACCAGTGGATAGAGATAAGATCATTTGAAAGAGAAATTTTTAATATTCTAATGTTCTTTTTAAAAACTGTTTCCTAAAGTTTCCTTACTTTTCCCACAAAATTTATCTAATAATATTAACTCTAAGTGCTTTCTTGGTTATAGTGAAGTTGTAAGGTCCATTATCTACAGAGTACATTATATATATATATATATATATATATATATATATATGATTTTGCTGTTCTTTCAAGTAATGTGTAGAGAAAAAGTCATTTTGTTGGATCATTTTAAGGAGAAAGTGTTTCATTTATGAGAAAGTATTTTGCAAAGATAATCTCAGCTAATTATATAAAATTTAAAGAGAACTTTTGATTGTTTAATGGAGATTATGGCTAAGAAACTTTGCTAATAGATGTTATTTACAATAACATTAGGATGAAACTTAAATTATTTCTTATGCATTATTTTTATAGTGCCTACCAACATAAAATGAAAGCATCATTTCTCCAGAAGTTATATAATTCACATTCATAATAAACATATTTAGGAATTGTATTTATTCTGACAGTCTCATGTATGCTTCCTGATTAATTCTGATGCTACACTCTTTTTTACTTTAACTATTTTTAACACCATCACCTGACTGTGGATCATATTGTTCTGTTTTGCATCTCACTGAGCTTAAACTTTGGGTCCTAGTTGTGACCATATTTTTTTTTTTACCTTTTTCTTTTTTTTTTTTTTTAGTAATTTTATTAAATTATAAAAAGTTTCCATTTACGCCCCTCCTCCCAACGCCCTCCCACTCCCCCCTCCCTCTCCTCCTCCCTCTTTGTCCCCAAGGGAAGTCAGGGTCTCCTGCCCTGTGGGAAGTCCAAGTTCCTCCCCCCTCACTCTGGGTCCAGGAAGGTGAGCATCCAAACAGACTGGATCCCAAAAATCCAGTATATGCAGAGGAAACCAGTCCCAGTGTCATTGTCAATGGCTTCTCGGAAAGACTGCAGGCCAGCCACATTCAGAAAAACCAGCCACATTCAGAGAATCTGGTTGGATCACATGCTCGTTCAGTCACGGTCCATCTGGCCTTGGTAAACTCTCATTAGATCCGACCCCTTGTATCAGTGGGTGATAGTATCCCTCGCAGTCCTTCGTCATTTTCTTCCTCCTTTTGCTCCTCGTTTGGATCTTGGGGGGCTCAGTTCGGTGCTCCAACGCGGGCCTCCATCTGTTTCGTCATCCAACGCCAGATGAGGGATCTATGGTGATAAGCAAAATATTCATCAGTATGGTCACGGGCCAAGGCCGGTTCAGGCACCCCCTCCTCTGTCCAGAGGACCATATTTTTAAACATCTCTATTAGGGCCTGTTTGCCTCTCCAGCAGGGATATAACTAAAGACATGACCCTTACCCCTGAAAATGATATTAGTGGCAAATGTATCAACAGGGAAGTATAAAGTTCAGTGGTCCCCTCTGCTATCTCTTCCTGGCTATTGGCAGATCAACTCGTGCTCAGAAAAGTCATTTACTTTTAAGAACTGTGTCAGCCCCAGATGATGGCACTTCGCAGTTTCCTACCTTTTCTATGCTTCTTATATTCTACCATCTCCTTTTTCTCAATATTTCTTAAACCTTAGTTGGAGTGAAATAAATAGTATTTAAAAAAAACAGTATTTGTATTTTTCTGCTCATCCAACATTAACCACATTATAAGAAAACACACAAAATTCACTCTTAAGATTAAGCACGTTTAAACCAGACATGAATGCGATATAAGACATTTTTGAATAAAGCAACAATAAATCAAAATTCTAAATTAATTTTTAGTACAGATTTACAGGTTTGTCAATTAGTCATTCAACATTAATCTTAAACATTTTGTAAACCATGTAATGAATAAAAAATTTATATCAAGTCCAAGGAAAACTAAAGTAATAAATTGACAGAAGTTATAGTAAAATATTAAAATAACTAATTCAACTCTAATTAAAGCATTTGTAATTAATTACATATTTCTACTTTAGATATTGATCATGTTACAGCTTTAAAATTCATTGGGATTTTTCATAAAAATAATTTTTACAGTTATTAAATCACTGGATCAGTTTTGAAAATTTGTTCCAGTGAAGGAAAGATTTCTGACTTGCACAAAAGTGGCCACAGTTTAGTCATTTGTTACAGGGACAGTTAAGGATTCTGTTGTCTGTAAAGATTTTTTTTCAACAAGAAAACACTGAAATATTGGAGGATGTTAGTGACACGATTAGCCACTAAGTGAGTGTTTTGCTTCCTGATGTAAGCTGAATTAAATTACCCTCCTGTGCCTTTCACATTGGAGCCAGAACGTCTACCTCATTTAATTTTAAAATAATTTTCTCTAAGCAAATTATGGAGGTAACTTCTAAAGAATTCATGTTGCACCATAATTAGCAGATACAGTCCTTTTGAGTAGGAAGGTTTTCATCGCCTCTTACAATATGGATTTAGGTTAAATTCTTTTCATCATAGCAAATATTCAGCTATGAAATATGTTCTTAAGGATTTTAAGACAATCATGTTTAACATTTTATAGTGTGTCACGTTTGTAGAAAAATCAATTCAGGCCAAACCAAAACTGCATTGAGATATAAAATCCCTTGTTTTGTAATATTTTAGTTGTTTCCTTGAATTCTGATAGACTCTATTAACTACTGTGAAGAAACTCTGGATCATAATATCTCAGGGATTAGGTAAGAAACTTGGGCATATTCTTGAAATTCTGGGGAAAATGGAATTATCCTAATTATTTTATAGAAGGGTTTGGATAAGAATATAATATAATATATATATTCTTATATAATATTATAAATATTCTTATAAATATTCTTATAATAATATAAGAATATTTGAGAAAATAGCCTTATGCTGTTTATCAATTGATCTCTGGATTTAATAGAAAGTCTTGTGTTATAAAGTTACAGTAGTACCTCTTATTTATTAAAATGTGAGAGTTAGACACACTCCACTTACAAATTTGCAAACGATGATTTTAAAGGATATATATGCATATATGGTTTTGTGCATATATTTATAATATATGTGTCTACATAAAATGAAGGCAAGTACATTATATATTAAGTATGGATACAAGATCTATGCTATATTGATTTTTGTATGCACATTTGATTTGTTCAAGATTAAAGGAAATGATGGAATTATTTCATGTTTGCCTACTTATAAGTGCAAAGTTTTCAATGATTTCTTAGTGTGTTATGATATGACACTTGCGTGTGCAAGTTGATGACTGAAGAGACAATCAAGTGTGTGCCCCAATCATAGAGTCAAGTAAGAGAGATACATCATACATGCTCAATGACTGAAACGAAACAGAAACATATTTGAAGGACAGCGTAGGAGATGTACTTTCAATTTCTATATTATTCTTCTGTCCTCTTGTAACTTAAAGTTCTGTAAACCAGAATATGAATGATCTATGATTTCTGGGCTATTATACGCTGGGCTGTGGTTTCTAACGAAATGACACCCTGAGTAGCAATAGTACTTCCTTGTCCATAGAAAAATTAATTATACAGAGTGTGTAGGATGTCCCCTAGCAACATAGATATAAATGAAAACACGTTAAAATTACAAATATAAATAATATACCTAGGTATCTCCGAATTTCTATTGATATAATTAAGTCTAAATGTATTTGAGTAATGTTTTGTTTCCTTTTTATTTACACAGTGCAAACTAGATTATCAGGCGTGTGTCTTAGGAAAGCAGATTTCTATCAGATGTGAAGGGCGCTGCCCATGTCCATCCGATAAATCCACAAGCACAGGAAGAAGTGTTAAGAGAGGTAAGTGTTCTAAATTTATTTACAGCTTTAAATATAATCCACTATTCCAGAGTATTTCGTAATAAAGGGTAATTAATTAACCTGAGAAAAGGTTGCTTTTATACATACAACTAGCTATAAGGATAGCCTCTCCTTTGTCAGATTATTCTCACTTGAACCTCAGTTATATAGATGTCTTCCCCATGTCGTTCACAGTTATTATAAAAAATAAAGTGAAACTTGAGGACTGTTTATTTTGTGTTTGGTATGCAAATCTAAAATCTCTAATTTATTTTTAAATTCTTAGATTTGAAATGTGAGGATTTAGTCTGATATTTTCAGACTTAGGAATTGAGACTTATTTGAGCACATAAAAAATTAATTGAATATTGTTGTTATAAAGGAGATGCATACCCAGTATGCAGTGTACTTATGCATGTGAATTTAAATGAAACAGTTTTGTAAATAAAACATTTTAATAACTTAATAAGTAATACCTTCTGTTTTCTTAGATTACCTCCTGAAATTTTAGTGGTGGTTTTTGTGTGTGTGTGTGTGTGTGTGTGTGCGCGCGCGCACGTGCATTTGTGTATCTATATACATGTGTGTGAAATTGCCATTATACTTTTGGAAAGGGCTACAGAGTACCAAAATTAGCATTGGTATTTATAACTGTTTGACTCTTCTAACTTGAGAATTATCATTCCATGGTAGAGAAATATTCATTACCAGTCTTTTTTTTACCCCCATTACTAGTCTTTTTCTGAAAAATTTTGTATAAAGGCTACAAAGATAAAAAAATGTAATTTCATGTCAAATTTCATTAAATCATATAATATACTACATGCTAAACCATACTATTTTGAACATGGAATGCTGGATTTCTCTATTATAACAAAATGCCAAGGCTATTGAGTTTATAAATAGCAAAGGTTAATTTGGACTTATGGCTCAATGGTTTTAGTACTTGATTTTGATATGATATCACAGTATAGAACTGTGGAAAAAGCAGAAGCATCCATCTCATGGTAGCCATGAAACAGGACAGTTTCCAAATCATTTTCAAGAGTTTATGTTCCAAGAACTAACTTCCTTCCTGGACTTCAAATACTCAAACACTGTGGATTTTCTCCAACTGCCTAGTAGTGACACAGACTTGGAAGCTGAAATATTCAGTCCACAAACCTTTAAGGGACATTTAAAAATACAGGCCATAGTATAGCTCTTGATCGTTGTTTTGAACCCATGATGAATATGTTATTTTAGACCTATAGTCTGAAACCTAGTGGTATCAGTTTTTAACATATCAGTCAGTAAACTAATTCACATGAATATTTTAAATAAAATCATATGAAGACGCTGACAATTGTTAAACGTATAATTATTGTTCAAAAGAGAATCAATCGATTTTAAAGTGGGCAGTGACTACCCGGTATTCTCCAAGTGGCTGAGATGCCTTCTAATCGCAGCCATATGCTTTACACATTGCTTCTTTTGTCTCACAGTAGAAGAGATTAACTTCCAAACTTTGTTACTTATGTATCATTTTTCTGTCCAGTTTTTTTTTTCAATATGTTCTAAAATGACTTTTGGCACAATGAATATGTCAATTATCTCTATAACATCTCGAGTTAATCATAACTTTCTTTCAACTGAGATTTTTATATCTTTGCCTTTCTCACTCTGCTCCCCAGTGAATACATTTCCACAGTTGAAATTAAGACTTCTAACTGTGGTAATCACTTCAGCCATGATATAAATCCTACCATATTCATATCATTTATTTTATGTATAGTCCATTAAGAACTTTTGGAATGTTTTCTTTATAAGTGTTTTCACCAAAATTGCCATGCTCCTACAACAAGCTTTTTGTTTAATAATATTTCACAATTTCAATCTTGCTTTTGAATGAGGAAATGTGTTTTACATGGTATCTCATTATCCTACCATTTCATAAACTGTGATAGAATGCCGGTATGGATTAAATTAGGAAAGTAACACATGTATAAATAGAACCCCCAGTGAATAAACAATAATTGTTTTGTATCACTTAAATTTTAATTACAGTATTTTTATTAATATATCATGACGCAAACTTTTCTTAAAGTCATACTATCAGGGGATAAAGACAATTGGAGTTCAATTGTGCATCCAAAGAGAGGTAAGAGGATTGTGAACTAATTCTGCTCTGACAGATTGTCAGGGCAAACTTAGAACAGGATTTTGCCAGCTACTGTGGAAAAGCAGTACAGAAGATTTTGAATGTCATTTCTCCACAGTGCCAAAGGCCAAGAGACATGGGAAATGTAAAACTCAGTTCAGCATCATTTCTAATCTTCCACCTGTCATTTATAGTAGAAGCATGTCTTAGGGCGCCTGTGCAGTGCAGGAAATTCTTTTTAATGTCGTATCTGTTAGAGAAGTAGTGAGAAGGAAACTCTACTCTATGAAATAGCTCTTTGGTCTTTCTGATCTTCCCTCTGAGGTCAAATTGATAGAACACCAGGTTTTCAGTTTATTAATTTCTCAGTGAACCTTTTAAATTTGCTTGAACTTTATCAGTACTAATAAAATAGGTTTTACTTACAAGTAGAGGGAAGTGTATTTTATCATTAGTCTCTCAATAGAGTTAGTCCTTAAGGGATATACATAAATTGGTCAAGCAATTAAATGTAAACATCATAAATGAAGAATTATAGATAATTTACAGTTTTAGAATTCTGGATCCTGATTATAGACAAAGATTTAAACTAATCCTTCAATAAACCACTTGAATATAATTTTCACATATTTCACACTTACAGCTTTCCCTCATTTAAAAACATCCAGAGCATCAACTACAGGAAATACTGTTCGGTTATGAGATTTATTCTTTGAAAGGTGTACCCACATTATTATAAGAATGAGGCCATATCAGCTGATCATAAAAGACCATGGCATGCTTGTATAGCTAGGAAAATATAAGATTTATTGTAAACATTAACTCAAAATAGAATATTTTCTTAATTTTAGTATATTCATGTAAATGCAATTATCTGTTCTAAAGGAGACTTACATCATCAAAGACCAAGAACTTCGAGAAAGAGCTTAGAAAAAGATCATATTCCCTTGAAACTTGAAAATGTTACCCTAGACATATTGTTCATTGCAATAGTTCATAAGCGGAGTGAACCACATATCTATAAAATTGAAAGTGCTGTGTTTTGTTATTCCTTTGATTTTAGGGTCAGTATGTTATTTATTTGGCTTTTCTATTCTAACTAGAGTATGAATTATGTCTCATGCTTACTGCATTTATGGGTCATGGAAACTTTAGCTTCCTCTTGTGTTGTTGCTTCACCCCTGCCCCCCAGGCTTTAAGACATCAGAGTGTGTGCATCTGGAGCATTTCTGCTACCATTGTCTGCCATCACTGCGGCAGCCATATCAAGGTGCCAGCTGAAAACGTGATAAAAAATGTCTTATTTTGTCATGACAGCTTAGCCAGCTAATGGGCCTATGGCTTTACATTGATATCGTCTCTTCTGAAGATGCAGAAATATTTGGATGGTTTCTTTGGTTTTTGTTTTGTTTTTGTTTCCTTACTTTCTGTTTATTTATTGAAGCTCTATCCTTTATCCGTGACAGCCTTCACTTATTTGTTAGTTTGTTGGGTACTAAGAAAAAGCATTAGCAGTGAATTTCATGTTTCTCAGAAATCACGTACAAACGTACACAAAGAATGACTGCTTACCTCCCAGTTGAAACAGAAGCTGTGCAAAATATATTTATGATATATATTAGTCATTATGCCCAATTGCCAGGATATAGTGATAATTAATGATCTTTAAATAAAATGATGCAGCCTTATAACATAAAATGTAAGAATGGAAAGAAGGGGAGATAATAGCTCAACAGTTGAAAGCATGTATTTCTCTTTCAGAGGACCAGACTTCAGCACCCAGAACCCATGCTTTATAGTTCACAACAACTTGTAGATCTAGCTTCCTCTGCTCACCTCTGTGGAGACACATGGACATGGGGTACACAGTTACCGTGATTCCCATAATCATGAAGATAAATAAGATTAAAAACACATGTTTTATAGAAGATATTAGAATGGAAAAAACATGTTGATCTTTTTACTTTAGAAATATTACAATTATTTTAAATATTTAATGGTCTCCTTTTTTTACTTAGGTTGCATAACAGAACAAATGTGTAAACAAGTTATACTCGGGGTTTATTTGATGACTCTAAAATAGAAAAGGAAAAGTCAAGGATTTTAACATATGGTTTGCTCTAATGCTTACATAGTTACTACTTGCAGACTTGAGGATCCAATTTGGGATGTGTCTAACATTGATTACTTTAACTTAACATAATGTGATATCAGCATTTTGCATTCTGTAAAATAAACAACACTGTCCAATCATAATTCCTGCTGATTTGGCAAGAAACTCCACCCTAACACTCGACTAAGCATTCATCAGTTGAGATCAACAGAGCTGTGTCCATTAGCAGAGTAGCAAAGTTATAACTTTCTGAATGATTAATGAGACACCGACTCAGTTTCTCTGCTGACTAAATTTTCATTTTAATTGAGTTTTCATAGAACACAGTTCTTACAAACATTCTTTTAAAATATAAGTCTACTTATTCAAAGGATAAATTTTATTAAAAGTGTACATGAGTAGACTTAAAATAATATCAGGGTATCACAGCATAGAAGCTAGATAATAATGGTATTGCACACAATTTGGGTCAGAGACAATATCATCTATATTTAGTAAGTGCTCATTTTGAATATGTAGGGAGATAATAAAATATACCTTTCTTATATTTGTCTTGTATTATTGAAGACATGGAGCTGTAGTGGTAAAGCTTGGCAATTTCAGCAACTTTGTATAATTTCTGACGTATGAGTAGATAAAATGATGAATTGCGTTTTAAGTGGATTACTGTTTTCCAGAGGAATCTGGGTTTTCTGAGATTCACTTTCTGAACTAAACTTGAATATTGTGGAGCATTCTCCTGAGAAC